GTTTATGACGTCGAATATCGACGTCATAAACACCAAACTTGATGGTGTTTATGACGTCGAATATCGACGTCATAAACACCAAACTTGATGGTGTTTATGACATCATTATTATTATTTATTAAAATGAACTCTTTGTAACCAAAAGGTTAAATTACAGAAGCTCTTAGCAACATGAAGTTATGACTAAAAAATATTATATTACAACGATATTACAATAAGAATAAATTGTGATAGCTAAATACTAAAATAACTACGTTATAATCCTACTATTGTTTTTGAAAATCTTTTGGGGAAAAAAGGACTGTTTGAAGCAGTCCGTTTTGCAGACATAATTATTAAATTTATCTTATGTCATAATTTGGTGTATATAATCTTAAGTCATAATTTGGTGTATATGGATCTGGAAACAAGTCCGTCATTTTATCATTATTCATATTTTGTCTAAAGAATTGGTCGCAAAGGCTTTTACGCCGGTCGTACAGTGTAGTGATACCCGTAATCTTTAGTGCCTCGCCATAACTTGAAAAGGGGACAACGTTTCTGGATTCGTTCGATGTCTTCAGATAAAAAATGTTGAAATGCCACACTTGGCAAGCATACTCAATACTTATTACAGTGATGTACACAACGGTCAAAGTCTTTGTATCAGCGTTAGACCGTTTTAATAACCTCAGCATATACAGTAGCCTGCGTAGCAGGCGTTCAGTGCGGGCGGGAGAAGAAAGGGCGTCGTTAAATAAACGCTTGCCCAAATGCCTATGATTAGGGACGGACCATTTGATTTTTGATGGGGGGTGGGTAGAATCCCAAAAAAAATATCGGGCGAGCAATTCGAACTTAAAAAAAATATCGTGCAAGACTAAACGGACGAAAAAAAATATCGAGCAAGACTTTCGAGTGGTAATCCTTATTTGCCATTCGGTGCATTTCCGCGTGTAGCCCAGGGCCGTATGTAGCAACCGGGGTGCTGCAGGGTCCAGGAAATGGCATTTCAGAGACTCTAAATTTAAAAATTTCCTCGGGCCTTCGGCCCTCGCTTCCAGCCCCCCAATCATAAAGAGCTTCCTACGACCCTGTAGCCTAAATAATGGGAGAACCAGTATAATTCCAAAAATGGTTGTTCTTCATTTCTTTATTTTCTTCATCTCCGACTCCTATGATGAACGTGTACGTAAAAAAACTAGGAAAACTACGATTAAATCACGTGCACGGCCGTAGAAACCAAAATAGGTGAAATTTTTATGGGACACGATCAAAGGCGAGGATATAAGAGCGAGAGATTGAAATTGAGTAGGAATAGCGT